CCTCGTAAGGTTGACGTTCTCAGAGAACGTAAGGAGCACATGTGCTCTGTTCTGTTAGTATCGCTGTGAGTTGGAAGCGATGGCCAGTTTGGGTTTTATCACCCACACATCTACAGACCTTCATTTCTTTTTTTTATAAATTTGATCTGCTCTATTTCATATTTTTTGTACTACCCAGGAAGGTTAAACTTGTTTGTTCCTAGAGTATTAAATTAATTACCAACGATCTTTTCCACTCTGGTATTTACCTTTTGTAGTTTGTGTGTGTGGTGTGCGTTAATTTCCCTCAGGCTTTGCTTGATGGGCACCTCTATGCAGAAGACACATGGTCACAGTCACTGGCCTCTCTCTGCCTCGTGCGCCTCTTGCTTTTCTTACTTAGTAGCCGTCATCGTCTGCCGGGCCCTTTACCCAGGCCATTGGGCATCATTGTTGGCAAGGTGCCGTTGAGTCGGCTCCTACTCATAGATACCCCATGTACAGGGGACAGAACACCAGGTGGTCCTGCACCATTCTCACAATTGATCTTATGTTTGAGCCATTTTTGCAGCCACCGTGTCAAACCATCTTGCCAAAAGTCGTCATCTTTTTTGCTGCCCCTCTACTTCACCAAGCATGATAACCTTTTCCGGGAACTACCTGTTCTGATGTTTCCATTCTTTTCTTATTGAAGGAGGAGTGCAATAAAAAGGATGATGTCAATAACTTTTCTTCTTCTTTTTAAAAAATCACTTTATTCGGGACTCGTAGAACTCTTTTCACCGTCCGTCCATCCATCCATCCATTCATTGTGTCAGGCACATTTGTTGCCATCATTATTTTCAAAACATTTTCTTTCTACTTCAGTCCTTGGTATTGGCTCCTCATTTTTACCCCCTTCTCTCCTCCCTACCCTCCCTCATGAACCCTTGCTAATTCATAAATTATTATTTTTTCATGTCTTACACTGCCCGACGTCTCCCTTCACCCACTTTTCTGTTGTCTGTCCCCCAGGGAGATAAGTACATATGTTATATGTAGATCCTTGTCATCGGTTTCCCCTTTCTACCCCACCTTCCCTTACCCTCTTGGTATTGCTACTCATTATTGGTCCTGAGGGGTTTATCTGTCCTGGATTCCCTGTGTTTCCAGCTCTTATTTGTACCCGTGTACATGCTCTGGTCTAGCCAAGTTTGCAAGGTAGAATTGGGATCATGATAGTGGGGCAGAGGAAGCATTAAAGAACTAGAGGAAAGTTGTACATTTCATTGATGCTATACTGGCACCCTGCCTGGCTCGTCTCTTCCCTGTGACCCTTCGGTACAGGGATGTCCAATTGTCTACAGATGGGCTTTGGGTCTCCACTCCACACTCTCCCCTCATTCCCACTGATATGACTTTATGTCTTTGATGCCTGAAACCTGATCCCATCGACACCTCATGATCACACAGGCTGGTGTGCTGCTTCCATGTGGACTTTGTTGCTTCTCAGTTAGATGGCCTCTTGTTTATCTTCAAGCCTAAGCCTTTAAGACGCCAGACGCTATATCTTTTGATAGCTGGGCACCATCAGTTTTCTTCACCACATTTGCTTTTGCACTCATTGTGTCTTCAGTGATTGTGTCGAGAAGTTGAGCATCACAGAATGCCAGGTTATTAGAACAAAGTGTTTGTGTGTTGAAGGAGTACTTGAGTAGAGGCCTAATGTCCATATGCTACCTTAATATGTAACACATAAATATATATACATAGATCTATTTCCTTATTGTTATAAATATATTTACACATGTACATGGCTGTATTTAGACCTCTATAAATGCCCTTTGCCCCCTAGTTCTTTCCTCTGTTTCCTTTTACTTTTCCTCTTGTCCCACCTAGATATCAGTAGCTTTTAATTAGAGTCCTTTCTTGACATATTCTGAAGAAATGTTTTTGTTTGGGACATATGAAAATGTTTTAGCTCTGGAATTTTTCTTTCCCCCTTTCTCTGATGGTTCTGTGAAAGACATGAGAGAATCCACACACCTGTGTTTTCAATGATATTGTTTACAGAACTCAGGAGCAGTATACATTTATGTATGTGTATGTGTGCACACACACACACACATTCCATTGATGGGTATGTTAGTCTGGGTACTTTAGAGAAACAAATCCACAGAAACTCATGTATAAGAGAGAATTTTATATAAAGGTTAAGTGCACATCAAGAAGACATCCCAACCCAATGCTGCCCAAGCCCACAAGTCCAACATTAACCCAT